ATAAAAAGTAACTAAAACTGACATTAAGAATTGATCAGTGGTGGGGCACCTGGGTGGCTCAGTTGGTTAGGTGACCAACTCTTGGTTTTGGCTCAGGTCAGGTCTCAGGGTCAAGGTCTTGGGGTTGTGGGATCAAGCCCTGCATTGAGCTCCGTGCTCAGGGGGGAGTCTACTGGAGCTTCTCTCCCTCTCCCTCTCTGTCTGCCCCTCCCCCTCCTCTTGCATGCACTCTAAGATAAATAAATCTTTAATAAAAAAAAAAAAAGGATCAGTGGAACAGGAAAAAAAAGCCCAGAAACTAACCACCATTTATACAGTCATCTGAATGGCAATCGGAATTGCAAAGGTACAAATGTAATGCAACGGCATTTTCAACAAATGATGCTGGGACAACTGGATATCCATATGGGGAAAAAATTTTATATTTTCCAGAAAGTATTTTTCACACAATTCACAAAAACTAGAGATGGATCATAGGCCTAAATATAAAAGCTACAAACATAAAATTTCTAGAAGAAAATACAGAACTATATCTTCACATCCTAGAGATGGTCAAGATTTCTTTTTTTTTTTTAAAGATTTTATTTATTTATTTGACAGAGAGAGAGACAGCGAGAGAGGGAACACAAGCAGGGGGAGTGGGAGAGGGAGAAGCAGGCTTCCTGCAGAGCGGGGAGCCCGATGCGGGGCTCGATCCCAGGACCCTGGGATCATGACCTGAGCCGAAGGCAGTCGCTTAACCGACTGAGCCACCCAGGCGCCCCAATGCTCAAGATTTCTTAGACAAGACTCAGAAAGCAGTGACAATAAAAAAAAGAAAAGATAAATATGACTACACCAAAATGTAATACTTTGCTTATCAAAGAGCACTCTATGAAAATGGATAGGCAACCACAAAAGACTGATATCCAGGATATAAAAAAGATACAACTCCTGCAACTCAATAATAAAAACAAATAACCCAATTTTAGGTGGTCAAAAATCCGGGCAGGCACTTAAAGGAAGATACCCAAATGTCAACAAGCCCAGAAAGTGTTCAACATCATTAGTGATCAAGGACTAAAATTAAAACCGTAACAACATACCCCTCTATACACTCCAGAATGGCTAAAAATAAAGACTACAGCACCAAAAGTTGGCAAGGATGTGAAGCAACTGCAATTCTCATACACCGCTGGCTGGAAAAAGAATGATAAAACTATTCAGCTGTAAGCACATGCTACCCTCCATGAAAAAAGAATCACGACTTAGGTTCAGAGGGTAGAACAGCAGGCCACAGAGGATTATCCCCAGGCCTTGAACTCTAATGGCTCTTTTTATACCCTGGAGATCAGTCTTTTGTTAGGTAGGTGTTGATGTTTGCCTATTCATTTTCTTAGAGTTGTCTTTGAGGAGAAGCTTTAAATCTGATGTTATCACATTTTTTTAAAGTTGGGTACTGCTTTCTAAGTCTTGTCTAAGAAACCTCTGCACACGCCCAGGTCATGAAGATATTTTTTATTTTCTTCTAGGAGTCTTATGTTTTGTCATTTTGGAAAAGAACTGATAATTTCTTTAGAAATTAAACATGCATCTGCCATATGACCCAAGAATTCTTCTGATAGGTATTTTCTCAGAGAAATAAAATCATAGGACCAAGAAAAGATTTGTGGGACAGAGGCACCTAGGTGGCTCAGTCAGTTAAGCTCCAATTCTGGATTTTGGCTCAGGGTTGTGAGACTGAGCCCCCCATTGGGCTCCACATTGGGCTCTGTGCTGGGCATGGAGCCTGCTTAAGATTCTCTCTCCCTTGCCCCTCCACCATCCTCTCAAAAAAAAAAAAAAAAAATGTTGGATGGAAAGGGAAAGAGCTTGAACCAGGGCAGGGGCTATGAGCAAGAAATGGATGAATTTGAGAGCTATTAAGAAGGTCAACAAGATTTGTAAAAATGTTTTTATTCTTATCTAATTATAAGTGGAGGGAAGAAGGAGTAAGAGGGAATGAGGCATGTTACATACGGGAATTTTCCTCTTTTGTCTGATCTTTTCTCCTATTTACTAAAGACAGGACAGGAGACACCTGGGTGGCTCAATCGGTTAAGTATCTGCCTTCAGCTCATGTCATGATCCCAGAGTCCTGGGATCGAGACCAGCATCCGGCCCTCTGCTCAGTGGAGAGCCTGCTTCTCTCTCTCCTGCTCCCCCTGTTTATGTTCTCTGTCAAATAAATAAATAAAATCTTTAAATTAAAAAAAAAAAGACAGGATAGGCAGGGCATGATCATGAAGGGTAATATAAGCCACCTTAAAAAGCTTGAAACATTAGTTTATAAACTTTGGGAGAGCAATGGAAATTTTAAGCTGAGAATGATGAGATTATATTCAGGTGTCAGAAGGCTCTTTGTCAACAGTGAATAATTAAGGGAGGGATCAGTTAGGAGTCTGTTAGAACCCTCCAGAGAGAAAATGATAAAGGAAGATCATGGCCATGCGGAAAAAGGACGGACTCTGGATATGTATTACAAGGGGGCAGAACCGACAGAACTCAGTGACGGGAGAGGATCTGATCGCAAAGATCAAGAACAGCAGGATTGGAGATCAAGTTTTTTTCTTTTATTTTCACTTATGCACATGCTGCTGTAACATTTTGTGAAACTTCAAATGTCATCTTCTCTTTGAAGCCTTATGCAGGTTACACTCTAAATAGAATCAATCCTTTGTTCCCTAGCATTTTAGACACACATCAAAGCACATATTACACTCATAATCCACACTCAGCCATTCAAGAACAGAAAGGCCCATATACTAACTACTGAATCTCCAGCACTTAACATAGTCCTGACCTAGCCCTAGTATAGAGAGCACTTTATTTTTATTTTAGCTTCTCTTCACTCTAAAACTGCCAGTATGGTATTAAAAATGAATGCCTTGAGTGGAAAAATTTTAAAAGTTACAGAGATAGAAGAATATCCACACTAGGCTTTCTGCCCTTGAATAATTACATTGGTTATGCAGTCAATTCTCATTCATGGTAGCTCTATAAAGTCATCATGAACACTGAATTATCAAATACTGAAACATTTGCTCCCAGGAGAAACACGGGGTTAGGTTCTTGTGAGCCTCTGGTCACAACATTTTCTTAGTCAATACATAATCTCGTTTTATGTGTGTTTCTACTGAAAGACACCTCACTCCATATATGTTAGCTCATTAACAACAACCTCATAGCCATAAGCATGTAACTCATACCTGAACAATGCTACCTAAAAGAAGCTTTCTTTTCTTTGTAAGAGACATCACAGCCTTCTTGCACTTGTAATGCTAGACAATACTTCAGCAATATGCTTAGAGGCCATTCCAAACTGCGAAATCACTACCAAAAAGTACAAAATTGAGAAAAATGTGACACTAAATATACCTCAAAGCACCATGAGTGTTGATTTAGGGGTTACAAAGAAATTTATGGGAGGTACATTCCCAAATAAATAGTCCATGAATAATGAGGATCAACTACAGGTTTTTTTGTTTGGTTTTGAGATAAAACCTCTCTCCCACAGCTATTATCAGCTACATTTTTCATACACTCATCTCCAACTGCACCCAGTTCATATCACAAGGTGAACAGGTCATGGCACACATCACGCAGCAACACAAGTATTTCTCTGCTAGCTACTACAATTAATGGTCTAAGAAACGACTTTAAAAAGACAACTTTCCCTAAAAGATACCAGAACTGAGGCCACTAAAAAACCTGAGCCAGTCTCAGCGTTAAATGCTGGCTTATGAGAATTTCGTTTAAAAATGTGGCTCAGGGGCACCTGGGTGGCTCAGATGGTTAAGCGTCTGCCTTCGGCTCAGGTCATGATCCCAGGGTCCTGGGACAGAGCCCCACATCGGGCTCCTGGCTCGGCGGGGAGCCTGCTTCTCTCTCTCCCTCTGCCTCTCCCCCTGCTCATTCTCTCTCTCTCTGTATCCCTGTGCCTCAAATGAATGAATAAAATCTTTAAAATAACAATAAAATAAATAAATAACAAATAAAAATAAAAATGTGTCTCAGACTGGGAGTTCTGCGGAGGAACAGACCTTAAAAGGTCTAGGAAGCCAAAAGTAGAAACAACCCAAACGCTCATCAACTAATGGAGCAACAAAATGTGGCATACCCCTACCAAGGATTATTATTATTATTATTCAGCCATAAAAAGGAGTGCAGTATTGACAATGCTACAACATGCATGAACCTTGAAAACGTTATGTTAGATGAAATAAGCCCAACACACAAAAACAAACCGTAGGATTCCACTTATCTAGAACTGGCAAATTCAGAGACAAAAAGTAGATTAGTGGCGGGGGGGCGGGGGGGATAGGGACAAATAAGAAGTGCCGGCTAACGAGTTGTGGGTTTCTTTTCGGGGTGATACAAATGTTATGGGACTAGATAATGGTGATGGTTGCACAACCCTGTGAATATACTAAACCCACCGAACTGTTTAAATGGATGAATTTAATCATATATGAATTGTATCTCAATAAAAAAAAAAACTATGAAGGCTAAATATGTGGCTAAACTTGAATGTCAAATTCCTTTGAAATGGGTAATACTTTCCCAACTGCAACCCCTCCTCCCAACTCCGCCTAGCTACAGACACAAACTTCAGCACCCTTCACTCCTGTCAACAAGGAGTTTGGGAGGTCTCGCGCCCGTGCACCGGACGGTCACAATTAACAATACGCCGCCCGCACCCCGTCGTGGGGTCTCGGGGTGTTGGTCCAAGTCTCCTGTACTCCTGTCCCTCCTAACCAAACTTTCGGTAGGCCCTGATCCTGAACCCCTACTGTACTAACTAGTACAGGCCCTGGACTCAGGATCACTCTTTTGGAGCCCGCAAGACGAGCTCAACCGCCGCCCCAACCCATCTACTCAGAACCTTCGCAGCTCACGCTCCACAGCCCTGGGCCGGAACCACCTCAACTGGGCCGTCCTCCCGCCCCCCCGCCCCCCCCGCCCCCCCCGCCCCCACTTACGTACCTGTGGCAGCGCGCGATGCACGCAGGGAGCTCGGTCTAGGTTAAATGCAGAGAAGGGAGTTTAGATAGAGCCGCGCAGAGGAGACTGGGAAGGAACTGCAAGAGAACCCTGGGAAGAAGGTCCAAATCGAGCGCGAGCCCGGGGTGGGCGGGAAGGAAGGAGGAGGAGGAGCCGAAAATCAAGTCAGAAGGGGAGAAGAGCCGCAAGGCAATCTGCCGAAAGCCGTAAAGCAAGCTGGCAGCGCGACGCTGACCTCGACGTGCCAAAGCTGATCTCTCCGCGTCACTCCCTCTGCCTCCATCTCCCCCCGCACGCCCTCTACTTTTGCGGCCGCCCAGGTCTCTGCTGCCCCCTGGCGGACTCGGCGGGCTCACGAGGGGCATTCCCTCGCCTTACTGAGAGACCGCGCAAACCCAATCCCCAGATAGAATGCGGCTGTGCGGCGGCTTAGGAACTTCTCAGAATCCGTCTGTGCACGCGAGGGATACTGCAGGAAAAGAAAACATGCTTTTAAGTCTTCTTAAGAATGGTCATCAGAGGCCTTTATAGATTCCACACCAGGCAGGCACAGCAAACCGAGGCAGTGTGGACATGTTTGCTCACTAAGCTTTCTTCCTCTCCTGCCACTGCCCCGCGCACACACGCGCTCATCACCTGATGGCTTCTTAAATTAGCTGGGACCGAAGGGAAATGAGAGTGTGGCGACAAGGAAGAAGGGAGTTCTTTAGAATGGTCCTTGGAACTGTGCCTTGAAACTGGGTGATGACTGCACATCCTATTAGCAGTGTTCAAAAACAAGACTAAAATGTTTAGTCATTACAACCCCGTCTTAAGTATTTAAGAACTCCAACAAAATCATTCTCTTACGTTTCCAAATTGGTTGTTTCAATACACCCCTTTTAACCAGAAGGTTCATTATCTGAGCAGCAATACTCCAGAGCAAGTCATTTCCTGGATGACTACTCACTCTTCCCAGTGACACCATCGGAAGCTGAGTAAAAAGCCTAGAATCAGACCCAATGCATGAACAATTTATTTGGTAAAGGTGGCATTTCAAATGAACCAAGAAAGGAATGGTTTACTTTTAAAATGGTGCTGGGACGATTAGTTAACCGTTTGGGTTAGATTCCTTATCAAAACATACACTAAAATAAATTACAATTGAATTCAAGAGTGAAATGTTAAACACAAAGATACACATAAAACAAAGTAAAAGATACACAGATGAGTATCCGACCTCAGAATGGAGGACTTTCTAAGTATAAAAACGAGACAAAAATCGTAAAGTAAAAGAGGGACAAATGTAACTACCTACATAAAACTTTTTAAACTTCTGCAGTTGAAAATAAACTTTAGAAGTAAACAAGAAAAAGGGGAAATATCATGAATGGTAGACAGTTTATGTATAAAAAGTTCTAATAAGAATAACAGGCAAATGAAATAAGTAGGTATTTCACAAAAGGGTAAATATAATAAATATGAAAAAAGGTTTAAGTTTAATAAAAGTAAAGGGGCGCCTGGGTGGCTCAGTTGGTTAAGCCACTGCCTTCGGCTCAGGTGATCCTGGAGTCCTGGGGTCAAGTCCCACATCGGGCTCCCTGCTGAGCAGGGAGTCTGCTTCTCCCTCTGACCCTCCCCCCTCTCCTGCTCTCTCTCTTTCATTCTCTCTCTCAAATAAATAAATAAATAAAATTTTAAAAAATTAATAAAAGTAAAAAAGACATGTATACTAAAATAAGTGTATCATTTCACTCATTTCTGTTTTAAATTAGGAAATTAAAATATTTTATACAAATATTACAGGATTACATTCTTATTGAAAAATACAAACAATAAAAATAAATCCAACATTTTATTTGACCACTCATACATCAAAACCTATCATATTCTCAAAGTTAACCATTGTTATCAGTTGATGTATATTCTTGCTGACCTTGTATTTATGATCACACATTAAAATAATGTATGAGGGGCGCCTGACTGGTTCAGTTGGTGGAGCGTGGGTCTCTTGATCTCAGGGTCATAAGTTAAAGCCCCACATTGGGTGAAGAGCTCACTTTAAAATAATTAATTAATTAATTAGGGGCACCTGGGTGGCTCAGTTGTTAAGCGTCTGCCTTCAGCTCAGATCATGATCCCAGGGTCCTGGGATCAGCCCACCTCCGGCTCTCAGCGGGAAGCCTGCTTCTCCCTCTCCCACTCCCCCTGCTTGTGTTCCCTCTCGCTGTGTCTCTCTCTGTCAAATAAATAAATAAAATCTAAAAAAAATAATAAAAATAATTAATTAATATTTCTGATAATATTCCGTGTAGATGATACTTTTGCACTGCTGGTAGGAATATATACTGATGCAACCTCTCAGGAAAGCAATCAAACAATATATATATGACAAAAATATATACCCTCCAGGGGCTCCTGAGTGGCTCAGTTGGTTGAGCTTTCTTCGGCTGGGGTCATGATCCCGGATCCCTGGGATCAAGCCCTGCATCTGGCTCCCTGCTCAGCAAGGAGTCTGCTTCTCCCTCTCTCTGTGCCTCTCCCCTGCGCTTGTTCTCTCTCTCAAGTAAATAAATAAAATCTTAAATATATATACATATATACATGTATATATACATGTATATATGTATATATATACATATATACATGTATATATGTATATATATAAACTGTGACCCAGGAATTCAACCTCCAGGACCTTATCAACTAAAGAAAATATCAGGGATGTACACAAAGATTTATACCCTAAAAGTTACTGGAAACAAATTAAAATACCACATTATGGGATCTGTTCAATAATACAGTATTAGGGGCACCTGGGTGGCTCAGTCGGTTAAGTGTCTGCCTTCAGCTCAGGTCATGATCCTGGGGTCCTGGGATCAAGCCCCATGTCCAGTTCCCTGCTTAGTGGGAAGACTGCCTCTCCTGCTGCTTCTGCCCCTTTCCCTCTGCCCATTCCCTCCTCCCCGCTCGTGTGCTCTCTCGCTCTTTCTCTCACTCAAATAAATAAATAAAATCTTTAAAAAAATACAGCCATTAAAAATCATGTTTAGAAAAATGTCCATTGACATGCAAAATTGTCCAAGATCGTTTTCTGTGCAAAAAGCAGGGTCCAAAACTATACACATAAAACAGCTTGCCTACACCCATTAGGATGGCTAACAGTAATTTTAAAAATAGGAAATACCCGGTGTTGATGAGGATGTAGAAAAATTGAAACCCTTGTGCCCTGTTGGTAGGAATGTAAAATGGGGCAAATACCATGGAAAACCATATAATGGGGATGCCTGGGTGGCTCAGTCTGTTGGGCATCTGCCTTTGGCTCAGGTCGTGATCCCAGGGTCCTGGGATCAAGCCCCCGTCAGGCTCTCTGCTCAGCAGAGAGTCTGCTTCTCCCTCTCACTCTGCCTGCCTCTCTGCCTACTTGTGCTCTCTGTCAAACAAATAAATAAAATCTTAAAAAAAAGAAAGCCATATAAGGGTTCTTCAAAAAATTAAAAATGGAATTACCATATGACCCAGCAATTCTCCTTCCATGTATATACTCAAAAGAATTGAAGGCATAGGGCGCCTGAGTGGCTCAGTCGTTAAGTGTCTGCCTTCGGCTCAGGTCATGATCCCGGGATCCTGGGATCGAGTCCCACATCGGGCTCCCTGCTCTGCGGGAGGCCTGCTTCTCTCTCTCCCACTCCCCCTGCTTGTGTTCCTGCTCTCACTATGTCTCTTTCTGTCAGATAAATAAATAAAATCTTTAAAAAAAAAATTGAAGGCATAGTCTTAAAGAGATATTTGTACACCCATGTTCATAGCAGCATTATGCACAATAGCAGAAAGGAGAAAGCCACCCCAGTGTCCACTGACAGATGAATGGATAAGCAAATGTAGTAAATACATACAGTGGAATATGATTCAGCCTTAAAAAGGAAGTAAATTCTGACACCTGGTACAACATGGATGAAATTTAAGGACATTATGCTAAGTGAATTAAGCCTGTCACAAAAAGACAAATACTGTACAATTCTGCTTATGGGAGATACCTAAAGTAGTCAAATTCATAAAGACGAAAAGTGTTAAGTGTGTTACAGGGGCTAGGGTAAGGGGGAAATACACAGTTGTTATTTAATGGACATTGAATTTCTGTTTTGCAAGAGGAAAAGAGTTCTGGAGATTGGTTGCACAACAATGTGAATGTACTTAATACTATTGAGCTGTACACTTAAAAATCACTAAGTTGGTAAATTTTATATTATGTGTATTTTACCACAATTAAACATTTTTTATTTTTTAAAGATTGTATTTATTGATTTGACAGAGAGAGAGAGAGGACAAGCAGGGGGAACAGCAGAAGGAGAGGGAAAATCAGGCTTCCCGCTGAGCAGGGGGCCCAACGCAGGGCCCCATCCCAGGACCCTGCGATCATGACCTGAGCCGAAGGCAGAGGTTTAACCAGCTGAGCCACCCAGGCACCCCTGAACATTTTTAAATTAGAATAAACTAAGTTTTAAAAGCTTACCTACAATGAAATAAATCAAAGAGCTTCCATACCCTCAAAGTCTCAAATGAACTGATTAATAGCTCATTCTTAAGTGTGAGGGCAGTAAAAGATCCAAGGAATAACTTTGACATAAAAGCTATCAAAAAAAAAAAAAAGGAAGAAAGAAAGAAAAAGTAAAACCAAGAGACAAGGCAGACGGAAATACATTTTTTTTCAAAGAAAACATAAATAATATTCTCGGATAACAAGATATTGTATTCTATTCATGAATGGAATAGTGTGTTCTAAGAAAAAGAAAAATACATTTTTAGAAAGCCTTTAGAAATTAAAAATATGATAGCTAATGTAAACATCTCGCTGTTAAGTTTGGAAGATAGTCAAGAAAATCTCCCAGAGAGTTGATCAAAACAATGGATAATAAAAGAGAAATAGTAAGGAAATTAAAGTATCAGTCAAGGAAATCCAATATCTGACAAATAGCTATTCTGGAAAAAGAGAGTAACAAAACACGAGAAAGAAATTAACAAAGAAGGGGCGCCTGGGTGGCTCAGTCGATAAGCGTCTGCCTTTGGCTCAGGTCATGATCCCAGGGTCCTGGGATCGAGCCCTGCATTGGTCTTCCTGCTCCGCAGAAAGCCTGCTTCTCCCTCTC